TGGGAGAAGTGTGCGAGTTTGAGCTTTGAAAAGAGCTTTTCAGATGAAGGAAGCTGCAGTAATTAATACAGCCACGTTACATTGACGGGTTTATGAAAAGCTCATAAAAAGCCAATCTCCAATATTCCCATGCAATGATGAGTTTTAGACTGGAAGGAAATAAGAATCCAGAGTCAAGGAGACTATGGTGGACCCTGGAATAGGATCCCAATTTCGTAGCGCAATTATGGGCTACAAAAATGCTGTTTCAACTTTCAAGTATATTTTCCATCTAAAAAGATGAGTTGATTAGCCATTTGACATGCTCTTTTTCTACACCTTGAGCTGGACTTTGTCCTATTTGCATGGACATGACTGTTAAGCCGTTGAAATCTTCGTTCCTGGTGCCAAAATTGATCCGTGTTTGGAAAAACAAGGCCACCCTCACCCATTTCCTCTTCGGAGGGCTATCCTTCTCTTTAATGACCGTAACAACCTGGTCACATTCTGCCTGCCATGCATCTTCTTGATTCATCTTATTACTGTTTATATCATCAGTGCAACCTGCCTCAGGGTATTTCTGCTCGTTCGTCATCAGCATTCATCTGAGGCTAAAGATTGTTGCTTCCAGCAGAGAAGGGAAACCATACTACCAGAAAACTAAACCCTTAGCGCTTGATCCGGTAAGTCCCTGGAATGCACTCTCGCAATTCGCAAAGTATATAATTTGCTTATTCCTTGGATCATTACAAAGCTTTTATTCCCATGTTTTACACATGTCATTGCTTGAGTTAGCTGCAAATATGATCTCGCATTGCTTTTGTTACAGTTTAAATTCAAAACTATATAATTGCCACCGCTTGATCTTGTTCTGGGATCAAATTGATGAATATTTAAGCTTATCGATAGATATATTTGGTTCAAGGCCATCATCAATGATGATAATAATAAATAATAAAAACTATAGTATAAAACTTGCACAGAACCTCACGATCTCTAAATAGTTTTATAAATTTCTAGGTTGGGCCATTTGTGATATTAAAGCCCACATCAATTACTGTGATACAACATCATACATACTTTAATTTCTACCAAGAATAGTTCACTTTTCTACCAAATAAAAAGACCAACAGATCACTCTCGAATAGACTAGAAAATATGCTTGTACCCCAAATTTGAAAAAAAAAAAGGGATAAATGCCTGAAAGGATTTTTTTGACACCTTGAAGAAGACAGGAATTTATAATAGTATATTTATTTCAGTTTTTTTTTTTATATTTGGTTTTCCCAAACAGTAGTAATTAAAGAAAACTCAGTACAATTAGTATATTCGTAAATCGATTCAAATGTCGTAAAAAAACAAAAAAAAATGATCAAAGTGCATATATTATGACCCCAGAGGAGAAAACAAAGAATTGAGTTTAGGATTTCTAAACAATTACACCTTTCTCACCCAAATAACTTAAGTTAAGTCCAACATAGTTAAACTCTTAAATCTAATTGGACTTTGTTGCCTTGTTTGAAAAAAACAATAAGAGTTTATATTTTAATTTTTCAAAATTTTGTGTTTTCATAATCAATATTTATAAATATTATTCTTTTAGTCATTTAGTAGTTAAAAGATAAAAAGCTCCTGCAAATTCCATTCCACATCATCATACCTTAACTAGGTGCCATATATTCACGTCAACTACTCTATCACGTAGTAATAAAAAATTTTAATTTTTTAAATTATTGTTTTATAATTTTTTATTAGCACAAGATATATATGATCATTTGATAAAATGAAGTAACATGGATATATTACTTGATTAAGGTATGACTGATCACGTCAAGTAGAAGATTTGTTATCTTTTAACGCTTAAGTGATAAAAATAACAACATTTATGATTGTTATATCAAATCATTACTTTTTAAAATAGAAAAATCAAAATAGTAAACTCGAAAAGATAAATAATAAAAAATAATTTACTCAATAAAATTACTATTTGAATTCAATCCAATCAAATTGATTTTTTTATTTTATTTTATCTTATCTTTTTCATAAGCACACACGCACACACAATTTTAAATGTACAATAGAAAAATGTTTTAAGGAGAATCTGTATTCATATGGATATTAATAAGTAACACTTTTTTAAAGAAAAGAAATATTCTTAATTTAATTAAATTTCACACCTAACGGGCCCTTTCCTTCTCATAAATTAAATTAATTGGTTTTTCCAATATGTTGTTGCCACATCAAATTTTTCAGTGTTAATTAAGGGAAATCCTACTCATGAATGATGGGCTACTTGTCTAAATCTTATAGTAATCCTAAAGCAATTCAATAATTCAATTAATGCTAATTAGTTTTGGGTTGGATGCGTCTTCAACAAGGTATCAAAGTTAGGTAAGGCATCAATACTTTTAATTTACTTGTATTTGTAATATTGAGATACCTAAGCGTATATAATCAATAGGGTTTTGGGTTCTCGAATAAAACCATTACTTATTGTCTTATACCTTTCTCCTAGTGCAGTGAAGCGATGCTCTTGACGGTTAGCTGCCTATAATATAGGTGGTATCTGATGACATTTATACTCTTAACTAAAGAGCTTAATAAATGTTGTAGTCTATCTATAATTTCAAACTTTTTAATTATTAAAGAAAAAATTTAAGCTGGTTTTCTAAAGGATACTGGGTGAATTACTTTCTAACAAGATATTTCCTCAACAAGAGATTATATAGTGAATAGGTTAGATGCAAGTGTTAGCTTGGCATAATATTACTTAAACAAAACATGGAAAATTGTTAAGATTAATCGACCACTTAAATTAATGCAAGAGACTCATGATCTAATTGGGAAGGATCATGGAAGTTAATTAGGCTAAAAAAAGTCTCCTGCCAATGGAAATGGCTAAAGACTTGTGTTCGTTTTATACTCCATGATGTCTTATTAATATATGAAATACTTGCTTTTCATATATATCTAATTGGGAAGGATCATGGAAGTTAATTAGGCTAAAAAAAGTCTCCTGCCAATGGAAATGGCTAAAGACTTGTGTTCGTTTTATACTCCATGATGTCTTATTAATATATGAAATACTTGCTTTTCATATATATATATATATATATATATATATATATATATATATAATGATCTATTTCACAAGATCATCGACCTATCACTTTGATTTTGAATTTAGCTTTTATTTGCAAAATTCATCAATTTTACATATGACAATAAACTCTTAAACTCTGCCAATAATTAATATAAACTCACCAGTGGATTATCTTTTACGTTTTACAGATGGTGTTAGAATAATGATCTTAAAATTCTTATGCATTTCCCTTTAATTTCCGCACAGAAACATCGATCAACACTCCTCCTTGGACAACAAGAGACTGTGAGTTAAAAAAACATATACTACCTTTAAGTTCTTTAAAGCAATATATAGATACTAATTAAGAGCTACTTTTACGTCTTGCTAGCCACTGATCGACTGGAGCTGTAACATTTTTTGCTTATACTAAAATTCGCTTTGAAATTAACCAAGCTAATCCTATACTCTATATATCATGCACGACCTTAAAAAAAATGGAGGATTTGGACATGAAACCTTCTTTTGTGGTGGTATATACTTCATCAGAAAAGAAGAAGAAGAAGAAGAAGAAGAGTTGTTGGAAAATGTTGATCCTGACCAACTGAAATATACTAAGATGCAATAAAGTTGGAACTAAGCCTGTTTTAGAATAATGAAATGAGTGATGCGGCTTAGTATTCTATTGTCCTGTAAACTTCTTGACCAAATGGCTTAAGCTAGGCTGACTCAAGGAGAGGATGTCAAAGCAACAAAATGAGGGAGAAATCTTGGATTCATGTAAGATAATTAATTGGTGAGAAATTAAGTAATAAAAGAAGACAATGGAAGGTGGGGGGAGGGAATTAATGGAGAAAAAAAAAACGTATGCTTTTGCAATTGATAGGGTACGTACGTACAAGTATCCAAAAGCAATGGGGGATGTAAATCATTGTGTTTAGCACAAGCAGAAGCGTGTTAAAGATTTCAAAAAGATTGTTTGTCCCATGTTAATGTCTTTGTTTTGTTTCTTTAGTGCTGCTCAAAGTCCAAATAGGATTAAATTTAGCATAGGGCTAGACACGCACACTACTTCATGTTTTAAGATATTATTACTATTTTCCTTGTAACTAAACAAAGTGTAATAGCTTGTGCCTTTTTCCTTTGTATTCCTATCATATTACAGATAAGGAAATTTTGTTTTCTCGACTCTCATTCAGATACAGTATACTATTCTTTCTGTTTGGCCCTGGACATCTGAGTCTTTGCTTGACATGGAAAAATTCACAAGGAAACGCAAATCTAATTAGGAATCCAAAGGAAGCACGTGAGGATAAAGGAATCATTCCATAGGCACTTTTGAAGCAAATTGGATGACAACCCTAAAAACAAATTCAAAAAGTTGAAGAAATTGAAGAAACATTTTACACTGGGTCATGTTTTTCTTGAAACCCAACAAAAATAAAAATAATTATAAAGGAACATAATCATCCGTTTCTTGGACCCATATACCTCTACTAATATAGATGCTTTTGTTGTTTATTTTGGCATTATTGAAAGAAATTAAGAACATTCTACTTTTGAGTTTCTTTCTTTAAGGTTTGGGTTTGTTAATTTTGTGTGGTTGATATTTGTTATAAGATACAATGAGATTACATGTGTCTCACCTTACTAGCTATCTTGATGTATACTCCTGCCAAACTTTGATGAAAATTCACTTCATTTTTCTCTTCAGGAACAATAATATATTTTCTAAGTAGGAAGACATATCGAAGGTTGAAGACGACAATTGATCAACCAAGCACCCATCAGGAAGAAATGAATCAAGCCAAAAAAGAAAAACTTAGGACCCAAAAACAAGAAAAAGAGGAAAAGTGAGAATACAAAAGGATCGATGGAGACTAGATCTTTAACAGCAAGTGACTCAAAGTATATATGTAAAAATAGAGGCAAAGGAAAAGAAACCAATAACTATACAAACAGTATATAAAAAGATAAAAAATATGTCTCAATATCTCACAGAGATTGTGCGTGTGTCTTCACTTAGTACTCACTTTCTGTTTAAAAACTATTTCAGCTGGCTAGGTGCTCTCTACAGAAAATAAAATACTTACCATCTTAGACAATCATCTCTGTATAAACCATTTTTCCTTTTTAACAAATATGTTCCTCGGATTTATATTATATATTTTTATTCTATATATATTGATATAATAAGAATAACATATATATATATATATATATATATATATATATCAATTACTCAGGGAGAGTAGAAATCGACAATTTTTCTCATCACCTGTACCTGGGTGGTAAGGCACTTTATGTAATGTGCAGTCTCATCCAATAAGTTGCATAAATCCATGGCTTCACCTCCTGGAACAAGCTCTCTTAGCTCATCTGTTTGGACACCAAAGCCAACCCCTTCCCCAGTTGTGGTCTTGTTTTCTCTTTCATGAGCTGTTTTCTTCATGATGGCTTGATGACAACTAGTAGTAATCTTCAGTCTTCTGACTGAAGAAGCTTGACGCCAAGACCGGCTTCGAAGCTTCCAACGCATTGCCCTACTCCAAGTTCTCCTTGACCTAACTGAGTAAGCCATGGACTTGTCAGCTGCGACCTTAATTCTTCGGAAACGTTGGAGGATCTCTCTGGGAGAAGATGATGAGATGGGATTTTGAGCATTTATTTTAGTCAGAGCCCGAAGGAACCTGGTGGTGAACCTGGATTTTAGAGAACTAGGGTTCGGATGATGAGGGCTCATGGGGAATGAGATGAAAGTAAACTAGGGTTTTTTTTTTTTGGGATATGAAGGTGGATAAGAGTTACAACTAACTGTCCTGGGCTTTGCCTTTTTTGGATGGATCAGAGGGACAAATATGAGTTTGGTGTGGGAAGAGAGATTTTGTTTTCTGACACAGAGGGGCCTGGTTGCCCAGAACTCACAAGGACAAAAGCAGAATTTTAGTTCTGACTTCTCTGACACAGTATCTACATAGACCAACCAGACAACAAGAAAGACAGAGATGTGGCTAGGGGAAATTTCAAGAACAAAAACATGTGAGGAGAATGAAGAAAAAGAGAGAAAGTAAGAGAAAGAGAAGGGATTGGAAATGGGAGGTGTAAGGAGGAAGGAGACTTGGGAATCAACCTTTCATATACTTTCTCTTCCCTATTTTCTTTATTCAATGTCTCAAAATTAAAATTGTTTAATATTATTATAAATAATTTAGTTTTATGATTATTTTATTTTTTATATAAAAAAGTAGTAAATATTTATATTATAATTTATTATTATTTTTTAAAAAAGACATTACTAATGGAAAAATCTAATTAATCTGTCTAAAAAGAAAAGAGATAAACATTTAAAGTGAAAAGGAGTATATAATTATAATTATTATTGGATTACAGGTTCTGCTTTCATTTTCGGTTTGGGGTTTTGGGGATGGAAAAGTGAGTGATGTGGGGCTGAAATAGCCAACCACCATATGAGCGCACATGGTTCCATTTTCCCACTTGGATTGGTGGGACCTCTGCCTTCCTTTTCTTTTGGTCTTCATCATCTCTTCCCATCCCCCTCTCTTTTCTCTCCTTCATGTATTTTGCTCTATACTTTGTTCTGTTGTGAATCTTAATTTATTCCTTGTAACCTTGATATATATAATTAATAATGCCTTATATATTTGGTCATGTAGGATTAATGTTGGAGTCTTATCATTTCCACCCAAAATTTCCTCCTCAATTTTTTTGGCCAATCGGGAGGGGAGGTGATATATATATATAATAGAATGACAGCGATGGGGGCAATTGATGGTGGCAGCAGCAGTCGACATGGAGTGATGTGTTGAGGGTGGCGATGTCGGCACCAAGGCCAAATCCAAAAGCAAAATCACAGACTGTACGGAAGGGAAGGGAAGGGAAGGGAAGGGAAGGGAAGGGAAGGGAAGGGAAGGGTGTCATCATCAGTTTCTTCACTACTCTTTTACTTGTATGGAGAACTCAAATATTTGTCCTAAGTAACTGCTGCATATATCCATCCCATTGACTAGAACCCACTCAAAAGTTTTTTCATCACAAACTTGTTTGACCACTCAATCAATCAACAGTTTTTATTTATTTTTTGTTCCTCACATGGTGCTCTTATTGTTTTTCAAACGGGAAAAATACCACATTCAAAAGGCGAATCGTGGGGTCATTTTTTTTTTATCAGACGGAATATTTAATAGCACTCAGTTGTTGTGAATTTATTCTGCTGTTGCTCTACGTTATAATATTTTCATATCATGATAAAATATTAATCAATTCTCGACTGCTGTCTATAATATATATGTCTGCGTTTCTTTTATTTATTTATTTATTTATGATTTTCGCTTTAGCATGCTAAAACTCCTTGCCAAGGAGGAGTAGCTACAATCAAACATTGACTAGTGTAGCTAGAAAAAGAGATCCACAACTCTAATTAATTAACAAACTAACTATATATATATATGCACTGCTAACCGTGTATGAAACTTCCAAGACAAATTAATGGCAACAGTTTTTCTATCTTAACATAGGATTTGCTTAATTTCACTAGTACAAAGAGCACCACCAGCCCCATATTGCAATATACATTATAGTTGTTATTCTTTTCTAAGTACGTTCAATTAAGATATATTTCAAATGGAATAGATCCATCTCGGTATACCCATTATATATATGAGCGAGTGTGAAGATTAAATCTTCTCTTGAGATATCAAGCCAACTTGGTGATATAATCTTTTCTTAAAGTACAATACTTTTAAGCAATGATTTTGAAGATTCTGATCAAAGACATGAGAAGAAGAAGACGAAGAAGAAGATCTCTAGCTAGTCCCCCCTCAGCAAACCCCCACCTTTCTCTAGTATCTTTTCTTCCTCTCCTCCTCCTGATCATCAGCCATGGCATGAACGGAACAATTTTATACCTGAAACAGGCATGCCTATATCCTAGAAGAAGAGAAAGAAAATTCAAAAGGCACACTTTCTGATCACTTGGAAGAATGTTGTAACTTTAATACTATATATATGTATGATATCTACTTAATTTCATTGAATAAGAGAGAGGGGGGAAGTGAAATTCTCAATCTAAGAAATATATCCGTTGAGGCGGATGGGAGTGGTGCATCATGGTTTTGGGTGGACCACAATCAAGTGGGCGCATGTGTGAGGAAAGTGACAACTTGCAAGCTTTGATTTCGAGTTCATCACAACTTGGAACTGATTGTAACGTTCCAGTTTATTCATCAATTCTTTGCCTTTAATTTCATGTATATCGTTAACCTTACTCAATAGTAAGGTACTAAAAGGAAAGAGACAGAGAGAGGAGCAGTGGGTTTGCATCCCGAAGGCTGGAGGTGGGTACCTGGCTACATGGGAAAGTTTTTCTAGGGTTTGGTTCACCTCCTTCCCAAACAGAAAGGGTGGGTGAGGGTAGCCACTTGGACTGAACTGCTCTAACTACTAGGATTTCAAGTCACCACATGGAGGATAAAATCACAACTCCAAGAGCTAGCAAAGAGGAAGCTAATTAACGACTTTGATGTGATTTCTATCTTTTTCTTATATATATATAAAGGATGGACAACAAATTTGCATGCGGTGACAGAATCATTTGGTTGGCATCACCATCGCCATCACCATCACCATCATACATATATATTCTTTCCTTCTCTTTCTTTTGCTTATTTAGTTTTCCTCTTTATTGTATTTAATTATATAATTAGAGATTTTTAATTTATCTTATTAATCCGAATCTCCATTTCAAATTCAAATATGAAACTTTAAGATATATCCCTTTGGAGCATTCGCAATGCACATTAATTAAGCCTTACATATAGAGTATACAAAGCTACAAAGTTGTGAATCTCCTTAGCTAAACCTATGTGGACGATTGTAGCTTAGGACATTTACTGCTGCCCAACAGATTTAAATATTGGTGAATCGTTATGACGCTTAATATTTAACATAAGCTTAATCTATGCACATTCTTACTATAAAAATAAATTGCTGTCTACAAAATAACTGATTAGGAAGAATAAAATTATTTAGGTATAATATTTAAAAAGTCTTTGAATTATTTAAATTAAATTTTTATTATTTTCTTGTGTTTAATTAATTTTTTTTAAATTTTGAATCAAATAAACTCTTATCACTAATGGTTAACTAACTGTCATGAATCAAAATTTTACTTATTATTTTATATTCATGTGGCATTGATATAATAGTTGAAAATATTATATGACCATTTCATTATATATTATAATATATTAATATCATTTCAACGTGATGATATAAAATGACAAGTGATATTTTGACTAACAACAAATGATTAATTGATAATCATAAGAACTTATTTATCCAAAGTAAAAGTATAAATATGTGATTGAATACAATAAAAATATAAACGTTTATATGAATTTTCCTAAATAATTTTAAGAGAATTTTATAAATATTATGCTAATAATTTATTATATATAAAAATCAAATTATGTAACATTCTAGTAAAAGTTACTCTTGCATAATACTATCAAATTTCTTTATTTTTTTTCTATAAACTTTTTATTCTTCTTTTACCGAGTATAAATAAAAAATTTTGTGCTTGGAAATATCTATTTATAGCTCTAGGTCGGCAAACCAGGTGATTCCAAAACAATACAAAAGCAACAGTAAGAAATTAGGTTTCAAGTCTGGTAAAATGGCATTTGAAAAACAATGAAAGTTGGTGGCTTCCTTGGATAAAGAAGCAAGTTTGAAGGTAGTGGTCCCCCTGTAACGGGACATGCATGTAGATCAAGAAAGGGGGCAAATGATGTATGAACATGAATGAATATATATATATATTCTTTAAACTCACTACCATTATTACTTTTCATCATATAAATTAGATTAACTGGAAAACAACAAGGTGACAGACATGCAAATCAAAATGCATCATCAGCTGGCTTGGAAGGTCAAGGTGGGTTTTTTGTTTTTTCGAATAGGAAAAGAGGAACATGGTGGGGCTGGGCTTGCCTATGGTTTGATATACATCAAAGCTTTAGGATTAGACCCTTTAACCACCTCATAATTATGCTTAGTTTGAGATAAGCAGGATCCACATGCTTGCTTCCTTCATTCTTTTCTTTCGTTAGGACCACTTTATTTGGCTTATGACTTGGAAACAGGTGTCATTCTATTTGACACTCTTAAACCAATTTCCCTCTTCTGCTTACTCTTTTGTATGACTGCACAAAGGCGGTGCACTTGAAGTTGCATGAACTGTGGATGAGCTCAAGGTCTAAAGCTACTTTGAGAAATTTTGGTGTGGACTGTGGAGTGAAAATGGACTAGTCGTCTCTAGATGCATTTTTGTGGGGCATGTGGTAATGCCCCAGCTTTACTAGAGCTCGGGAGTTGGGACTCATCTCACGCTGGAATTATCTCAATCCAGCTTAAAAATACTGGAAACAAATAACAAGGATTTATAATTTTGACAGAATAAATTCGATCACAGTTACTCTCAGCTGTATTATTCCTTCATAATCATATGCTTTATATTTGTTGAAGATTGATCAATCTCATCTGGTTGATCATGAAGATGTTGGTGGAACAGGCTGGTAGCACCGGATTTTTAAAGAGAGAAGATAGCCGTTAGCATCAAAACGGCAATGTTTTAACTTTACTCTTTCATTTTACTTCTACGCAAGTTATTGTGTCGTTTTGGTTTCTTTTGTTTTTAAGTTTCATAGTCATGAAACGATGTCATCCAGTACTTCTCCTTCAAGCATCTGGTCCTTTTAGTACATTTTCCTTTTTTGATTTTTAGCCGTTGCTTGCACACTAAGCTTCCTTTTTTGTTGGTATTCTTGTGAACCTCAAGGCTACATCTCAGGAGCCTGAAGTAGTTTATTTTTTATGTGAGAAATATAAATTGAAAATGAGAGGATTTGGCAAGAGAGCCATTTTTTACTCTATTGAATCTTTCTATTCTTTTTCTTTCTTTATTCAATCTATTCGATTGTTTTTGAAAATTATCTCTGAAAAACTCGACACGGTATCAGAGCTCTTATCTTAAGGGACTTGAGACTTGATTTGTGCTAGTGATTTTTCTTGGTTCTTCTTTAGATTATTTGTTAAGC